ATATATATATGTATATATAGCTGAATCCATAGCGATATAAATGATTGAATAGTTTTATGGCGAGACAAAGCTCCCCTGCAGGAAAATTCCAGATAATACTATAGACACTTTGCCTTAAGGAGGTGAACGACAACTCCCTGCTCCCCAAGCGTGAGGTCCTGGCTGGGAATTCCTTCCATAGAGCAGGGAACAGAAAAAAGGGAGGGGAAGGGCAATGATACTGTGGAGAAACCTAAAAAAATTTCCCGTGGTCAGGAGCAAGGTCACCACCCATATCCGTAAGTCATGCTGGCCAGACAGACCCTCAGATGATGTGACTGGGAGTTTGCCTCACCTCAGAGGTTTCCTCTCCGTAACCTCAGTCTAATCATAAGAAAAACATCAGACAAAGGAGGGACACTCAGAAACTCTGACCAACATCCCTTGCAACTACTGAGGTCATCCCCAAACAAGTAAAGTCTGAGAAACTGTCATAGCCAAGAGGCACCTTAAGGAAATATGACAAATGTCATGGATCCTGGACAGGCTCCTGGAAAAGAAAAAGAACCTTAAAAGAAATCTGAATGAAGTATGGATTTCAGTAAACAATTATAAGGTATTGATACTGGTCATCAGTTGTGACAAATATGCCCTACATTTGTAACATAAGTAAGATGTTAACAGAAAAAAAATCCCCCTGTGGGGGATGGGATATGGACACTTTGTATTAGCTCACTAATTTTTCTGTAAATCTAAAACTATTCTTAAAAATGTATTTTCTTTTAAAGTAGTTTAAAATTTGTCTTTAATTAACTTACAGTTAGCAATAGTGTAAAATAACGCTTTTAATATTAACGCCATGTTTTATCCAAAAATGACTCAAATTTCTGAAACAGAAATAATGGAAATGTCATTACGTAACTTTTTTTTTTTTAACGTATGCCTCCAAGAACTGGTGTATAGGCCAAAGATGTGTAGGATGGAGGCGCAGTGAGAGGATTCACCAGAGACAGAGTGGGGAACAGACCAGGCAGATGTACTGAAATACACTACTGAGGGGAGCGGTGGTGAGACAGGAGAGGTCTGCTGGGCCATGTGGGTCACTCCATGGCCAGGGATCGAACTCAGGCTGCAGTGGTTGGTGATTGCTTCACTGTGCTGAGATTTAGCCCCTGGATCACCAGGGAGGCCCATGTAACATTTCTGCAAATAGCTTTAAGATGTGGCGGTGTTCTCACATCTGTTTCTCCCAGCAAGCACCATGTGGGGTCAGCTCCCCGACCAGGGATTGAGCTTGTGCTGAGATAAATGGCTGCTGATAGCTTCATAGTGTTGTGCTTTTACCTGTCATGCCACCAGGGAGGTCTCATCAATGTAGATTTTACTCAAAAATGATTCCCTATTCAACTTACCTTTAGCTGAATTCAAAAACTGCTCATGGCCACAAATTCCAGGCCAGTCAATATGGTGAAAAGTAGGCTACAGGAGAAGTCAGAGGAAAAGAAGTGGCAGACTTAATTGAGTGCAGTTGAGATGTTATGTTTGCAGGGGCTTCCCTGGTGGCACAGGGGTTAAAGTCTCATTGCTGTTGAGCTATTTATTGCCAGCCACGGTGGCACAATTTCCATGTATGGGCCACTGGCATGGCCTGAGTTCGATCCCCGGCCAGGGAGCTGACCCACATGGCGCAGCAGACCTCTCCTGTCTCCCTGCTGCTCCCCTCAGCAGTGTATTTCAGTCAATCTGCCTGTTCTGCTCCCCATTTTGTTTCTGGTGAATCCTCTTGCCGCCCCCCCTCCATCTCTGGCCTACACCCCAGTTCTTGTACATATAAAAATAAATCTTTAAAACAGAAGATGTTACATTTGCAAATTTTATCAAAAGGTGACTCTATGAATACATTATTGGGTGCTTCAGGGCTTAGACTGGGTGGGGCCAGCTGAGGTCGGTCAGCCTTAAGCCTCCACACTGGCTTCATGCTGAGTGTACCTCAGCTAGTGAAGCCTCCTGGTCAGGCTCTCGGTCCCCCACTCTCTCCCGGACACATCACCCCGTCTCCTGTTCCCTTCTGCTTGCCCAGATCCGCACTCCCGCCCCAGCCTTCTCCCTGCGGGTTGACAGCCCAGCGCATATGTTATTCACAACCCTGCAGCCCCATCTCTGCCACCTGGAAGCGTCTACCCCTCTTTCCAGACCATTTCCTGAGGGGCCATCCTGACCCCAACGGAGAACAACTCTGCCCCCACAGCCTGTTCTTAACTGCATTATCCACACAAGATGGTTGGTGTCTGTTTCTTTCAGCATCTAAGGGCTCCTGGGAGTCTGCAGCTGTTTGTGGCTACCCGAGTGCCCAAGTCAGTGCTTGGCACTAGAAGCGCTGGTGTGGGTTGTCTGCACGAATGAAATCTCTCTGCTTTCCTTCCGGATCCTTGGCTTGGGTCCATGTTTTTCTTCTTCTCTCCCTTGCCTCCCATTTCTTTCCTTCCAGCATCAACAGTACAGGAGGAACAAGAGGTGTGTTAAGCGCACCTACCTGAAGGGACGAATAAACGGACAGTCACTCCAGTTCCCAAGTGCTTGTCACGCACATACGTGTGACATGCCGGTCACTTTCTGGCGGCTACAGGATGCGAGGCCGCTTCTCGCTGAGCACTTGCTGACGTCCGCACTCGCCTGCTGCAGTCTCAGGCTTGCTCAGCTAAGGCTCACAACGCCGGGTGAGGTGGCTGTTCCCCGCTTTTAGCTGTTCCCCGCTTTTACACCGGCTGGGTTTCCACCCGCAGCTAGCCAGGCGCCGTCCTGTCCCCGGCTTCCCTGTGGGGGGCGGGGGGAGGGCGATGGAGCGGTGGGGCCGCTCGCTCCCAGCGACTCGGACGCGGGGTCCCCCCCTGCCCGCAGCCGGGTCTCTCCAGGGAGGTGACGGCGCGGTCCGTCCCTCCGTCCGGAGACTCCCGGAGACTCAACAGCAGGTGGCGCGAGCGGTTCAGCTTCCCGCCCGTGGGCGGGGCCGCGGGGCGAGCACCGCGGGGTGGGGGGCGGGGAGCCCTCGGCGCCTCCTTCCCACCCAGAGCCCCGGGGTGGGTGATTCCCCCCTCACCTGCTGCGCCACCCCGCAAAGGCCGCGAGTGCTGACCGTGCGCCAGGCGCTCATGGGTTTCATCTCACTTTTCACAAAACCCTAAAAAAACGAGGTTCTGGAATCTTCTTTTTCCTGACACTGGAATGGACGTTAGCAGAGGTCATCTGTCTTGTCCAGGGCCACTTCGAGGACCACTGAGCTACTTCCTGGCTGTTGCTCCCCTTGGCCGGCGCGCACACCGCCATCAGCGCAGCCTGTCCTGGCCGTTGCACCCACATTCCTGGCTTCGCTGAATGTCGCAGGCCCTGGGGGCTCCCCTGAGGCTTCTGCTCTGTCCTGCCAGGCGCTGCCCTGCGACGCCACAGCGGTAGTTTCAGCTCTTAGCACGAAACTTGACACACCACACTGAACAAACGCAGGGCCGTGGCACAGTCAGCGTGTGTGTGCATACGCGCGTGTGCAAACATGTGTGTGTGGAGTGGGGGGACTGGAGGCAAGGAGGCGGCACAGGGCAGGGAGCAGAGCTTTCCCATGGTGAGAATAAGGCCCACATAGAGAAGGGGGGTGGGGGTGAGATCTGAGCTAGAGCCGAAGGAAACCGAGCCCTGAATGGGAGCCTTGTGTGCGGCCCTGCCATGCTGACTCACCAGGACTCGGGGAAGGGAAAACACGTTGGGGATGAAGAAGGGGCTTGTATGCTGCGGGCACACCCCCAAACCACCCTACACCCTGAGGACACCCTGTCTGCTCCCGGGCCCAAGTTCCACCAGGCTTTGACTTGAGTTGGGCGGGAGGGGCATGGGGTCCCGGAGCGTTGGTGCTCACTGCTCAACAGCAGAAGGCCCTGTGCTGGAGAGCCTGTGCCATCAGGGTGGGGAGGGAGGCCAGAGCGACGGTCCAGCTGTCCAGCACCCAGCTGCCCCCTCCACGGGGGTGGGCAGGTCAGACTCCAGCAGGGCCTCCTGGCCCTGCCGCACCTGAGGAGTCAGGTGGATGAGTAAGGCTCCCAGGGCCAGACAGCAGGGCATGGCAGCTGCCAAACCGGTTCAGAGACGTGACTACAGGATTTTTGTGGCAACAAGTATGGCAGCAGCCCCAGGCCGGCGTGCAGAGGTCAAGGTAGGGCAGCCCAGTGGACAAGCTCAGAGCCCACACCACAGAGAAGCAGCGGAGGGGCCCGAGGGCCCGAGGGAGCAGGCAGGGCTGGCCCTGGAATTCTGGGTCCAGGGTTAGCTCAGGCAAGAGGCCTGACTGGTTTGACAATTTGAGCTCTGCCATCAGGTAGTAGGCAGGTCAGCGTGGGGGCACCTTGCTTTTCTGAGCTTCGTTCTCCTAGAATCAAGGGTCTCCAAGTCTCTATCTTGCTCTGACCCCTGATGACCTGTGTAGGCCAATCATCCCTCTCTTTCCACCCCCTGTGGAGGGGCAGCTGGGGGCCGGACAGCTGAGACACCTACCCCAGGCCTCCTTCCTGGCCCTGAACGCAGCGCGGCTCTCCAGAGAGGGCTGTTCCGTCAGCATCCCGGCAGCGGGAAGTCTCAGCAGTTAGTGAAGCAGAGGACTCCTTCTCAGGTTCATGACTGACAAGCTCACGGAGCTTATGCCTCAAATGTGTTGTTACTGTCTGCTTGTGGCGTGGCCAGGGCAAGGCGCAGGGACCTGAAGGCCAAGTGGATGCAGGTTGAGTCCCATCCCTGCTCCGCTGTAGGACGCTGGCCAAGTTTCTGTGCCGTGGTAGCTTTTCGTGACCTTTTGGGTGAAGTAGGAAATCTGCCACATTTCGTACTTGCACCGATGAAATGTAGTAACTGTCAAAAATCTGCAAACTTGGGGCCACAGAAGATACTCAGGAAGAAATTGCCTCCATCCTCTCGAGGGCTTAGTCCTGACCCAAAGGAAGAGTCTGGGATGGGGACTGGGGTGCAGGAGGCTTACAGGGAGTGCCCTGGGAGGGAAGGAGGGGAAGCCCACGGGAGCTGTGGTCCCTACGGTCTCAGTAGGGAGCTCAAGCCAACACGACAGAGGACTTTGAAACTGGGGTGCCCCTCGGTGTCGTCCCGACTTGAGACATGAGGCCCAGCTATTCACAGTCTACCTTCACCAGCCAAGTGTCGGTACAGTAAGGCAACTCCCACAGGGGCTGGCAGCCGAGAGCCCTTTACCCTCGGGTCTCGCAGCAGCCCAAGCTGGGGCAGAAAACCAGCACATTGGTGTCAGGCAGTAGAGAAATTTTTTCTTAACAGATTTATTTATTAATGCATACAGAGCTGGGGGGTAGGCCAGAGGTGTGTTTGGGGGTGTGTGTGGGGGGCCGTGAGAGGATCCACCAGAGACAGAGTGGGGAGCAGAACAGGTGGATCTACTGAAACACACTGCTGAGGGGAGCAGCAGGGAGACAGGAGAGGTCTGCAGCGCCATGTGGGTCACTCCCTGGCCGGGGATCCAACTCATACTGCAATGGCTGCAGATAGCTTCATAGTGCTGAGACCTCACCCCTGCACCACCTGGGAGAGCCCTCCTGGAGAGTTCCTGTGCCTGTCTCTGACATCCTAAAACCAAGACACGCCAACTGAAACATAATGCAAATAGGGAGAAAGGCAGAACTCTAGGTGAAGAATGCCTTGGAGAGAGGAGACACTGGCTCCTCTTTTGACTTTGAGGCCCACCAAGCATTGTCACCTCTGTGCTCCCCGAGAGCTTTGCCAGCGCCACTTTCAATAACCTTATTTGGCATTTTCATCGCTCCTGTTTTTCCTGCTAATGTTTTGGCTAACATTTTGCTTCCCCCAGTTGGGTTGAGTAACCTGGGGGCAGGGAACTCATGCTTTTCATAGCTATCCGGGGTTCTGGCTCATCTTAGATATTTAAGAAACATCTGCTGCTGGAGGGGAGTAAGGTTTCATTTTTGTTCAGTTTATCTGACCAGATAAAGGTTTTCTGGCATAGGTTGGGTCTGATGACCCTCTCCTGGGCGTGGCTCAGGGTGAGGAGGAGCCTCCTAGAGAGCCAGGAGCCCTGCCTCTAGCCCTGGCCTTGGTCTGCAGGAGAGCAACAACTAATGCCTCAGGGGTTTCATGGGACACAGAGCAGCAGGGCCTGAGCCCTGGTTCTGTCCTCAGGGCCTTGCCCACCCCTGGTCCTCTCCCTCACTGTACACACCCCGCTGTGCAAATCAGTCAGGGAATGGGTGTGAGGTCACTAGCATGGCGCTTACGCCTCAACTACACTTTACTTTGAACATCACTGACTTGCAGAAACCAGGTTCAACGGTACTGGGAAGCACGTTCTCAAAATGTGATCCTTGGGCCCCAGGCAGCAACAGGCCCCTGGGCCCAGTCCCCAGAAACCCTCATTTTTTTTT